TCCAGCCAGTCCATGCTGTCCAAGTTAGCCTCAGCCAGATCCAGGGCTATGCCCCCGGACGGCTCGTGAGCAAAGTGCAATTCCGAGGTGTCCATAGGTGAAGGCGGGTGGTCCAGGATGGCCGAGCTGCTCAGCATCTCACTGTGGAGGTCATCAATGAGGGACAGGGGCTCCGGCCCGTCGTGGCCTGCCGTCAGCAGCGGGGAGCCGCTGCTGACTGCCGAGCTCTAGCCGGCCCACGGGCACCGGCTGCCCCAAGGACACCGGCACCGCCAGCTCTGAGGAATGGTGGCTGCTGGGCGGTGGGGAGCAGGCTGGGGCTACGGGTGGTTCTTTCCCAGCTGGGGACGACTGATCCTTGAAGTCAGCAGAAATCTCTGCACAGGGAACAAACAGGCAGGGCAGGGTGAGGAAAAGCTTGGCCCAACACCAGAAGGATCCCTCCCACCCACCAAGGCAACAGGGACCCCCCCGGACTGAGCCATCACTGACCACCAACTGGGATAAGGAAACTTATCCCGTGCCCACACTTGGCTTGCTATGGGGAGTTTTCAGCCCGCCCCTGGGGAAGTTCAAGCTCTGTCCAGTACCGCAGAAGAGATGTGCCCAGATGTGATACAGCAGAGCCGCTGAGAAGCTCTGTATCAGCCTGACTGACATCTCCCTCGGTGCCTTAACGACTACTGCCAGTGCTAAAGGCACTGGCAGGGGTGCAGGAGCAAAGACCCGGGCCATGACAAACTCTCCCCTCAGTGCTCCATAATCCCCAGGCTCAAATTCGAAGACTACGAGAAATGCTGGCCTTGTCTCCTTACCTCCACTTTCGATGAGAATGTCAAACAGGTCGTCCATCTGCTGGCTGGAACAGCCGTTCTCCTGGGGAGAGCGAGCGCAGGGATTAGCTTCCTATTTACCAGGGGAGCTTCCACCTCCAGCAACACCCTTGGCTGCTGGCTCTCCTCCCTCGCCCCAGGGATGGGGCTGCTACCTAGCAAGAATGAGCACAGGGTGGCATGGCACCAGAATCCTCCGTCACCCAAGGGAAGGCACAAGTCAGCAACTGCTGTACTAACGCTCCCCAGGCAGTGAGGGGCTTGGGATCTCTACCTGGGTCTGCCCCAAACCCTCCAGAAGGAACTCGGCTAGGAAGGCGCAGTTGCGTCTCTCTTACTGGCCCAGAGCAGGAATCTAAGCAGATTTACAATGGCAACTTTTCACCTGCTCCTCAAGGAAACCAGGGAGAAGAACTGCTCTCACCTGGGCCTTTGGCTGTTGCTTCATGGCCTCTTCATAGCCTGGTGGCTCTTTCATTGGGACCGAGGGAACAGGGAGAGGAGGCGGAGGAGTTCCAAAAAGCGACGTGTGCTGTTGCTGCTCCAGGTCCATCTGGGGTGGGGAAGGGGCAGCAGGAGAGCCGGGCTGCGATGAGGGCTGTTAATAACGAAGGCAGAAGGGGTGAGCAGGGGCAAGTCCACATCAGCTCCTGTTCTCAGCTGCTTTGAGAGACCATCACCTCCTCTCTTGGTGAGCACCACACAGAGGGCTGCACTGCTCTCCTCCCAGCAGCCTGGCTTCCTCCGTGTACTCTGTGCACTACGCCCTGGCTGCAGGGGAGGGAGACAGATTTCCCCTCCAACTCACAGCTGGAAATCTTTTGCTGAGTTTTCTAACGCTAAAGCAACCACGCCACAAACCACCATCGGGGCTGCTCCTGGATGGGGAGAGCCTCATCTGTCCAAGTGGGGGATTCCTCCAGCACTCTGGAGAGAGAGGGCACTTCCCTTGTGTGCAGCCTACTCTGCGCAATATGTCCAGGACCTTTTACCCACCTCCCTCTGCAGTGCCTGCTTTGGGGACACAATCAAGCTTCACTAGGAGCAAGTTTCACAGCCTGATGGTAGGCGGGGAGCAGCAGAGCATTCAGCAGCACCAGAGACCTCCAAAGGAAACCCCAAATGTTGCAGGAAGTGCTGCTCGTGACTCAGCTTTACCAGAGGAATCAGCACACAACTGCCCATAAGAAAAGTTAAAATGTGGATCAGGTCTTTGCCTCTCCAGCAGTTTTGCGTGACCCACACTAAAGCTGGCTCCCCCGGAGCAGTCATCCCCGGGCAGGAGCTGAATGCCAGTTCCAACACCTGTACGTGTCAATGCTCTTCCCTGTCCTGTTTTCCACGGAAAGCCGTTCATCATCTCCTCCGTGACCTGCAGGTAGAGGAGTGGCCCCAGGCCCTGGCTGGCAGAGCTGCTCTGGGGTCCGGTCTCTTCCTGAGAGGGGCTGGAAACTGGCGTTGTGGTACAGGCCACTGGGATGTGCTGGGAGGGTACCTTTTTTGACACACTGAGTGGGCCGGCTTTGCCAGGAGCACCAATTTTCAGGGACCGTTTGTAGAAACCATTGGGGAAGAAGGGCTGCAGGTTTGGAGGTGCTGCGAAAGGCAATACGGCGTGGGGCAGCTGCCCTGTGACCACCTGCACACCTGGCTTCTGACCCTACAGGGAGGCAAAAGGATGAGGAGAGTCACTACAGATGCCTCCACAGCACACGAGCTAGGGGAGTGTGAGGGGAAAGGTGCCTTCGTTTACCTTCTGCGTTTCCTCAAAGGTCTCAAAGCAAGCCAAGAGACTGACCCTTTGCAAAGTGGATATCCCACTCCGACTACATTAAAAATGACTCCTGTCTTCATACCCTTTCCAGGATCTGACTCAGAAGTGATCCTCCAAGCTCTGAAAACTCTTCATAATCTTTCTGTATCTTAGCTTAATTACATGTTAGAGCTCAGCGGGCTAGAAAGGGAGAAGCTGCAAGCAGACCCTCTTTACAGCCATCACCCGGAGAAGGGGTAAAGCCAGAGGTGCTCTCTTTCCTGAACCAGCATTGCACTTCACAAAGAGATGATTAACAGGTATGCTGAAGGCACGCGAATGGAAATCACAGCATGTCCATCAGTACCAGAGAGTAAAAGCTCACATCCTTTTGCCCCTCTCAGAGCTCATACGCCACCTTCAGTAGCAGACATACTGCCTACACCACCCTCTCTCCATGCAGTAGCTCCCTTTTCAATTCAGCAGCACTCCTTCAAGAATCAGGGACACCACTGTGAACCAAGGCTGCCCACTCTGGCCTCTTATCGGTTTTAATTGATAGATAATGCTTGTTTAAAACACCAGCTGGTATTCTGCCCAGATGTGGGACCAAAAGGCAGAAGCTAGTAAATTGTCAGGGTTTATCCCAGAGCTCTTTGCTGTAAAACCTCCGCATCGTTTCAAAGCGTGCCCACAGGGGAAGACCTCACAGAGACTTAGCGCTCCTGAAACCTCAGGCCGGATGGACTCTCCATCGCAGCTAGCTCGGCAGGAGGCAGGGGAACGGAGAGGCTATGCCAGGCACCCCTTCTGCTGCCACGTTCAAGTGGAAAACCAAACGTTCTGGGCAGCTGCAAGCTGTGGCTGAAGCTGCCGTGAGATCTCACTTGCTGTGATGAAGGTCTCTGACCAGGACTGTGCATGCGCGTCCCCTTCCCATCGCTGCTACAAACCCCGGCAGCAGGCAAAGAAAAACAAGGAAGAAAAGGGAGCAGGCAGCGAGCTACCTTTCTGACAGCTTGGTTTAGTCCTCTGGGCTGCTGCTGCTGCTGCTTCTGCTGCTGCTTCTGCTGCTGTGTGGGCTGCGGAGGGGTGCTTGCAGGTAGCTGACATGGCGGTTGGCTGGAAGTTTCAGCGGGCGATGATTGTACTCTCTGGAAAGAAAAGGGTATCCGTGAGAAGCTATTCCCCAGAAACAACATGGAGCAAGGCTTGTGTTTCTTAAAGGATTTATGAAGTTTGTTTTTCCCCACTCTTTATTCTTCAGGAAATTCAGTCAATCGTTCTGTTTCACCAAGCAGAGAAATCAGGTTGGTTTGGGATTCAGAGTCCTAAAAGAGGAGGTAGTACCAGTCTAAATCCCTGGGCTATCCAGGACATCCCTCGAGGGCTGGCAGACCTGACACAGGACCTGTGGCCCCCTGGAGCAGCGGCTGGAGGTCAGGTGAGATACCCTGGGGTATCAAGGGTGACCCTGGATGCTGGTATTTAGACAGCTGCCTGGCATCTCACCTGCCACACAGCAAATGCAGCCTGTCCCTGACGGCAGACGCTGCCAGTTGCTCTGCAGAAGGTGCAAGAAATGTAGCAGCAGAGAATGAAAATCTTCTCTGATGCCATGGAAAATGCTGGGATTTGACTTACGCCATAAAACCTGGGCATATTTATCCCTTCCTGGAAGAAACACTCAAACACTTCTGTTAAGTGCTGAGCTCATGCCAACAGGGGAATAGTAGATCATCTCTGATGAAAGACTCCGTTAATGATGAAATACTGACATGCATTAAAACAAAGAGCAGTCAAACAGCAAACAGTCTGCTCCCGGGGTCTGATTTCAGCTCTCGGTAGATAAGGTGGGCTATCTATCACTCTGACTACGATCTCTCCAGTAAAGGACAAGAGGTGATATACATTCTGCTTTTTTCACTGCCACAGGCACAGTCGTTCTTTCAAAAACTAGTGAAATGTGGCAGCAAACCCTTGCCCTCCAAGCCCGAGATCCTGCCTGACAAAAGGCAGAACCATGTGTTTGGAAGAATGCTGAACAGCCTGGGATGCACACAGTCAATCGTGCATTGCTGTACACAGTTCATCACTGTCAAATTCCAGTCTTTTTGCTGAAGATCTGCTTACACTGCTCTGTCTTACAAAGCCACGATCTACCAGCCATCGTAGCAAGCAACTCAGCCATTTTAGTATCTACTGCATCGAATTTCCACCACGTTAAGTCATCCGATGGTAACCTGAACCCCAGGAGAGGGAAGAGGGAGGAGAGGAACCCAACTGCCTGCGGCAGGGACGTGATCTAACCCTCGCCTACCTGCAAGGCCGGGCAGCTACTCCCTGCCTTCCCGTGGGGCGAGAGGCCCTGCCTCTCGGCGCTCTGCTTGGTCACGGTGAGGACGATGTGGGTCCCTGTGGAGTCGGTGATGAGGGTGGGGGGAGGGGTGCCCTTGATGAGGTCGCTCAGGGCGCTCCCTTGCTGGCCAAGGAAAAGCCGCGGGCTGTGGGACTGGCACGGCGGCTCTGCTTCCGCGGCTGGCACCTCCTGCTTCACCATCACGGCTTTCTTTGGCACTGGGCTTGGATTCGAAGTGTCCATTTGGCTAGCGGTTGGTGCAGGGCTGAATTGGTCTGTTTGGCCACTGGATTGCTTCGCAGACTGGCAACTCAGGAAACCGTTTTCGCTCTTGACCTGAGTGCCAAATGCTACTGGGTTGGAGGCAAGGGCTGTTCCTTCTCCCGCAGCCGCTGGGGCCGGTAGTGACTGCTGAGAGCGCTTCTCCTGCTCTAGCTGTAGTCTAAGCATCTCGACCAGCTGCTGCTTCTGCTTCAGCATGCGGGTGAGTTCCTCAATCTGCTTGTCCTTCTCCTGCAGCATCTGGTCTTTGTCCCGAACTTCTGCATCTCTGCTGTTACCAGTGCTACACCGCTCCGACCTGGGGGCTGGATTTACGCTGCAGGAGGCAGACTTGGAGCTTTCTTCTTTCACCAGGAACTGCACCGGGGACGCCTGCAAGGTGAGCTGGGTCAGGGGTGAAGTCACCATCTCTCCAAAGGTGTCTCCAGTGGCTGAGTTCTCATCCCCTGTGCTCATTTGTGAGCGCTCAGAAGGAGTTGGAGAAACAGGAGGAGTCGAGCTTGTGCTGCCAAACTTCATCACGCCACCACCGGTGACTGTGGCCACGACTACTTCTGCTGGGGCAATGCCAGTGGTGACCAGGGCTGGCCCTGTGCTCAGCCTGGCAGCTGGGAAGGCGACCACCACTTCGGCCGCTTTTGGGAGGATGGCTGCTGTGCTGGGCTTGGGAGTGGGAGGTGTTTGGCTGGCTGCACCGTTCTGCTCTTGGTAAGCTCTGAGACGCTCAATCAGGTCCGTCTTTGTGCCCGAGACAGGCAAGGCCCTCAGCTTCAGCTCTTGCTTCAGCTCTGCTACCTGATAGGGGGGAAAAGAGGGCAGCATTAAGAGAACATACACTCTAACCAGAACAACTATTAACAGCTACCAGAGCCATGGGGCAAACGACTAAAGTGACCCTCCTTCAGGCCGACAAACCTGCACCTCAGGTACAGGCTGCAGGGTGGCAACACCAGCTGCTATCGCTAACTCCTGTCAGTCCTGCTCAGGCCTGCTCTGGGGCAGCAACGTCGTTCAGTACTGCCCTCTGACAATGGCAGAACAGGGGCTGGGCAGCTTCACAGGCCATTTACCTTCATCTCATCTAGGTTGGCAGGGAGAGGGCCAGGCTTGCCCGCTGCAGCATTACTGTTTTGTCGCATCAGCCCACTGGAACCAGAGGATACGGAAGATGTGCTGCTGACTGCAGCGGAGAGATTGCGTACAGCAGGGGCACTGGCACCACTCTGCTGCTCTCCTGGAGGCCTGTGGGGAAAGAAAAAACACAGGCATCAAAACTAAGGTGGAAAGGCACCGGAGACCCTCAGTGTCAAGTCATATACATTCAGAAACATCTGGGTCACTAGTGCCACCCTAGACGTTAAAGCACACCAATGTCTTTGACTACATCCATGCCCCTTACTCTGCCAACCGACTCACTTCAGCCGCTTTTGTCCGATTCATCTGACACCGGCCCTTTTTGAGGCTCTCTGTAACCTAACAAGATTGAGTGCGTTACATACACCCAGTCACCACACCTCACACCCAGAACACAATGTCTCTGGTAACAGTACGGGGGAAGCAAGCGCTTCCTAAGAGAGAGCTGCCATTTAGGACCCATACTTGGGGGGGGCTGGCAGGATCGTCTGATAGTTGTAGTGCTGCTGCTGCTGGTTGAGGATCTGAAGCTGGAGAAAGAGCTGTTGCTGCTGCAGTATTTTGGCATAGGATGAATCCATGGGAGGAGCTCCCTTGTCCTGCTTTTGGTCCGGGGGAATATACTGATGATATTTAAGCTTCTTGACTTTCGGCTTCAATTCCTTGGCTTTTTTACTGCGCTGAGACTTCTCGCTAGCAGACTTGGGCTGGCTTTGCTATTTAGAAGAAAAGGAGGAAGCAAGTAAGAATGGAAACACTGAAGTAACATAACACCCCATGTAAACCAGAACACACACTGGGATTTTCATTTCAAAATTCTCTAGATTTGACCTCAGGGTCTTTCCATGCTTCTCTAACTCAGGCAACAGTAAAGTCACAGCACCTGCAGCAGCTTACACTGCACCATAATGCAGGTCACCTTTCCCAGCACACCAGATCACTTGCTCAGCCAGTGCAGATCACTGACTCTAATTATGGGTAACACTGGTCATTTCCAAACATTTTGCATTCAGGACCCATTTTACAGAAGGTGAATACATCATGGAACAGAAAAACCTATTAAATATGTTACAACAAGTGTCAGAGGAAGACACTAGTGAGAAGTAAGCTTTCCTTCCTTTGCATCTGCTAACACAATACTGCCAACTCCAGACCTTCTTCAGAGTAACCATCCTAACTTCCTTGAGACTACAACAATGAAGAAATCGGCAAAACCAGTACCTTAATGAGTGTTGGTGGGGGCTTGGCAGCAGTAAGAGCCGCTCCATTGGTAAGACTAGGGGGTAGAAGAGGTGGAGGGGGCAGAGGTGGGGGTGGCTGTTCAGGTAGGAAAAGCGTTTCACTGGAGTCTGCGCTAATCTGCAATTGGGATGTACCCTGCAGGGACAGAAAAAGGTGTTAATGAATACACGTACGAGGAGGGAAACAGTTTAAGAGAGTGCAGGAAGTGTCCACTTAAAGGGAAGCAGCACAGGTTTCAAGTCATTAATCAGAGTCCTTTAACCTACTGCTTCAGAGAAGCAGCACAACCTCTTAGGGCAGAAAAGGACTCAAAATCCCACACCCATATCCCCCAGCTTTGCCTGCCACAACCAGTTGCATACAGGCTGTAGCACCAAGTAATGATTGTCCCCCTTCCCCACGTGGCACCACTACAGGGGCTTCTGAATAACCAGAGGACTTCACCACCACCACACAGAGCTAAGACCCCTTGTGAAATCTCACAGGCTATACCTTTTAAGGATCCTTTGGTCTTACTTTTTAGGATCCTCTGCCACAAATCAGCAGCAGCTGTGAAGTTTCAGGGCACAGCAGGAGGCCACCACATTCTCACCTGAGCTAGTGATGTGCCAGTGGTGCTAGGGAGAGGCTCACAAATCCGGGAGTCCATCGGCGATGGGACAGACCCCTGGGACTCATGACTGGCTGGCTGTTCTGGGGAGAGGGCATCACTGCTGTCCTCATCAAAGGAGGAATTGTCTGCAACCTTTGGGTAGTTCACCTGTCCAACTGAAAACACAAACATCAACTGTGGTCTTCAAAGTGGAATAAGACATTATTTCACTTGACACTAGACGTTTCACAAAGATAACGAAGGCAAGGAGAGAGTTGTGTCTGAGTTGTGCTTAAAGCATCAACTGAAAATGAGAGAACTGGATCAGTTTTAGGTGTTTACATTTATCTCTGCCATCAGCAGAATAAAATGATGCAGACTTGGGTGAACCATTTCCCTCGCTTCTCAGCCAGACAAGATCAGGAAGTATAACAAGAGCTCCTTAACTCTGCCCAAACCCAGCTCTGGGGCATGGCTTATTCGATTACCATCTGGCACCAAAGAAGAAGAATGTTAGACAGGGTAAGGTTGTGTCATGGTTTCTTTGGTGTTCATCCTGTGTGGTGGAAGGTAGAAGAATCCCTCTTCACGACAGAAGCCCAAATTGTTTTCTACTCTTACAAGCAACAAGGGCTGTGGATTAAGTGGTGGCCCTGACTGCTATTAGCATTTCTGTCTATCTACACGTCCAGTAGACAAATTCACATGGGAGTACATTTATAACGTACTAATGTTTCTTAGATTACCCTATCTCAAATTAATCCTGGCAAGCAGGAAAATACTATCATTTGCATCTAACCTAAAAGCAACAGGAATCCAGAGAGATGTACTTTGCTCAGTCAGAAGGAAGCCACATCTCTAATGCTGCAGTTCACAAGTTCACCTTCTCCTCTTCAACCACTTCTTGTGCAATAGTGGAGCCAGGCTCTCCCACAACACTGCCCTTTTCCTTTTTCACGAAAAGTATTCCGTCTTGCTCACAGTTGCGTCCCATTTGTCTTTGAAGTAGCTGTATATGTTTGAGGGGATGAATAACCACAGACACACACAGACTGCTCAGTCTGGGGAGATGGGAAAGAGCACTGCTGAGGCAGTGGGAAGGCTATTCCTCGAAAAATTCAGCCCTTGGAATGGCACTGGCATGATTTACATCTGTTCTGGTTTATTTTTAAAGGGGTTGAATCCTCTGAAGTTTTTAAGTTCACAGACAGCTTTTGTTTCATCACACCTGTTTATATTCTGTCTCCTCTCCCTGATCTGAGTAAGTCAGTGGGTTCTCCCTGACCGAGGCTGCTGACATGTTATACCGAGAGAGATTTTTAAGGAGAGAATCTAGGGAATGCAATCTTCAACAGTCTTTCAAGTCTTTAGGGTATGCAATTGCATTCACGTTATTCTGGGATATCCATACTCCCTATAATTTAATGTCTCCGTAGCACTACGTGGGCCAGATGGAGTTCTGCTTTTCAGAATCCTTGGGCCTGAGACAGGAAAACAAGACCAACCATGGGATTGCGCTCTCTTAAGACAGGCAGGTGAATTGATAGGAAACCACAGCCACCTGTGGGAAATGCCCTCACCATAGATTCTCCTCTGGCCTTACCGATAATGGCTTCCTTCAGGCTCGACTCCACAGGCAAGATGTTCTTCTCCACCAGCTCCATGGGACCTGGCCTCTGCGCTATCTTTTCATTGAGGTCATCTGCCAGTCTGGCTCTCTTTAGCTTCAGCTGCTTAGCCTGCAGGGAGGGTTCAGCTGAGGTCTCTGGTCGGGGGAAAGTAAATAAAATGGCATCAATCCAGCAATGGTCAACCTATGCACCTCAGCAGTATTTTACTTCTATTCAGAAAGGTAACCGTAGGTAACAGTAGATAACTGTACAGAAAAACAATTGCAGATAACAATAGATAACTATGCATTATAAAGATATTCTAGATATTATGTATATTTAAGTTATAAAGATAACAACAGTAGCCCTTGTGACTCTAGAATAGGACAAATTCACTCTTCTCAAACTGATGTCATCCAATTCTCGTTCATTTTTTCCCTTTCACCTGTGTCCAAAGATGCGGTGCTCAGCAGCAGCATAGTACTCCCTCTCTGAAACGGAGGTGCTTATTAATTAGATCAAATCTGCCTCACTCTCTCTTGGATATTCTACAGTGTCTTCCCTTAGTGAAAGAGCAATCCACAGTCATTCTATTTTCTTGCTGCTCAGCTACACAAAACTGCACACTTTGAGCTCACGTAACAGATTCTTCTGGGAATCTCCATGCAAGCAGACTTGAATCCCTCCCAAGAAATCATGCAACAGGCATGATCTTCTGCCCGCTCCCAACTGAAAGACAGACTTGGGGGTCAGAGGCAAGATAGAAAGCTGTTAAATAAGTAATTACGATAAAGTTTATTGTTGATGTTTTCCTGTTAGCACGGGCCATACCTTCCAGAATGTGCATCCTAACCAGTTCTGATCTCTCTGGACGGGACCGGATTTTCCGTTTCAGATAGTCCTCTGTCTGCAGCAAAAACAGAACAAGCAAGAACCAAGTTCAGTTGAGCAGACACAGGACTGAGGTGATCTTGGACAGCACAAACACAAGAAACAACCATCTTCCGTTGTTACTGAGATCTAAATAAACACAGAACAGAGAAGGGGCATATCTTCTGTCCCAGAGCACCCAGAGAATGAGCTTATTCTAAAGATGACCTATGTAATGGCCTCAGTCTAATTGTGCACTGCTGCCCCGCTGAACAGAAACTGGGAAGGACTTCCTCAAGAGCTGAAGCCCTCTTTTCCCCTTTTATGCAACACCACTAACTTGTGTCAGGGTGAAATTCAAGACGTTTCCATTAAAGACAGACGCACTCGTTCCATTGTTCACCACAAATACTTTCATATACTGCTGGCATTCAGGGCTGACTTGGGGTTTGGGTGTACTCTTTTATTTGTTTAAAGATATGTTATTTCTTAAGCTAAAGACCCCATGCAGTTCCTTGGCAGGCAGAATCTAAATGCTATGACAAGAGTAATTTCATTTTCATAGCTGCTTTTAGCTCTGTCTTTGGAGAACGCACTACAGAGCAACGTACAGAGATGACCCTGTCTGGGCTGAGCACGTTACCCTTTACGCAGCCCAGCAATGGGAATCGGGGAGCAGTGGGTAACGGACCGGTAAGTACTGGCCACCGGGATGGGCCTTCAGAGAAAATAAATATAAAAGTCAATCAGAAAACCGCACCATACTTGCTCAATTGTCCACACCAAAATACTAACTTATTAAGAAGGTTTTAGGAAAAAAAGATGAGGAAGAAGCAGCAGCCACTGGTCCCCTGTTCCAAGACTTTCACAGTTTAAAGTGCTAACACTCCCTTATAGGTTTTAACAACAGCTGTTATTTTTTTACTTAAGTTGCTTTCATTTTTAAAACAAAACTTAGCCCAGCACTCATAACAGATTTTATTCCCCTGTAGGCTAATCAGAAAAAAGTATCCCCAGAGACCTTTTGAGAACAGAAATCATCAAGAAAACCCCCAGTTAACAAAGATGCTGCATGAAGTGTGACGCCTGGCTTCCTCTTTCTATAGAGCCAGAAGTCTGCGTGATTTCAGCGTTACAAGATTTGGAGGGGGATCTTCTCTGTTAAATTTTCATTTTCTAATGTCCTAGATGAACAAGTGCACGTGCAGGTAAGAGAGAAACTATACACTTTCCTTAAAGGTGGAACTGAGCTCTACATAATAGGAGCATTTAAGGGCAAAACAGACACCATAAAAATAAAAATAAAAATGTAAAGTATATGGACAGTGAAGAAGAATATCAGTGACTTCCAGCAAGAAGACTCCATGGGAAATCCAGGCACAATATTCAATGGTTTTCAGGCACAACTAGTTCACTGAGGGTTAACCACCACCACATACAAGCTAAAGAACACCCCATTCAATAAATCTCTGACTACAGAGCACTGTATGACATCCAGAATATGAACAATTCCCTTCTGCATCTTATTAACAGCTACAGGATACCCAAAACATACGACATGCTACTCCTGACTTCCCCAAAACATTAAAGACAATATTGCATCTTACCCTGGCCCGCTCCAAACTCCTTCTTTGTTCATGAAATGCAGCTGGACTTTTCAGAGCTGTTGAGAGGAAAACATTTAGAGAATGAATTAGAATTGATGGAAGTTCTCTCACTGCTCGGTCCCTTCAGGCCAACCAAGTTAACAAATACACCGCAGCAACTGCCTCCTGCATCTTGCAACACCCCGGGCCAGATCTGCAGCTGGTATAAAGCAATGTGAATGGACATACTCCACTTGACAGCACAGGAGCTACAGGAACTGACCTGGACTTCTTGTGGGCCGCTGAAGAGACTGCCATAGGTACACTTCTAGTTGAACTAACCACTGTTGACAAAGTTGGATCCAAGAACATGAGTCAAAACCAGCCCCCCAACAAATGCCTTTTACAAAGTCCAACACAGAGTAAGATATCCAGGAACCTTAAGTAAGGGAATGGCACTGAAACATTGAAGAGATACATGAAATGGTTGGAGGGATGGGGGAGGATCCTAATGAACTGTAAATCCTCTTTACTACCTTTTAATGTCAAAGGAAGCTGCAAGTCTTTCCCTCATCTGCACCTGTGTTTTGTATACATGCAAGGGCTGGTTGCAAATTCTGCAGGTCCACAGGACATATACGTTGGTCCGTGTAAGAGATACTATCGTGAGAACAGGAACACTTGGACAGGAAAGTACATCTGCCCGTTGACAGAAAACCAAGACTTGAGGAATTAACAGCAGCTCTCCCTATCACAGCCCTCCTTGCCCCCTTGGGCCCAGTATAAAACCAGAGCCAAAATGGATCATGTTTTAAGAAACTGATCCTCTGCTGTCCAGGACCGCACTAACCCTGGAGGAATCTCTCACTCTGCCTGGCTCCTCGGGAGCACACAAAGCTCACGTCCCACAGGAACACCGCAGAAAGAGGGTGACAACGCTAAGTGTCACTAGCTCCTCACGGTTTTCCCAAATCTCCAAGTAGCTTCTTTTTTTTTAAAAAAAAAAACCAATCACATCGTGGCTTGTATTCAGAACTAGCTGAAGGGAACATAATAACTTCTTTTCATATTTCTGAAATACTCGTATTTAAAACTGCCTGGTGAAATTTCTAAACTACCATCAAGCTAAATCGCAAAGTTAAAAAACTTCAGCTTTAAAGAAGCTGCGGGTCTTTTGAAGACAGAAATCTAAACTTGTACAGTTAGTAACGCCAAAGCATTGCATCTAGGTCCTATGAAATATAGTCTACTCGTATTATTTTTCACTTAAGACCAATGATTAAATATTTCTCAAATGTAACTTCATAATGAAATCTCAAAAGACTATTAAAAAATAAAAGCCCTTACATAAATGCGATGTAAGAAACTACTTCTAATGCATGTGTAGACTTCTGAACTCTTTCCTACAGAATAAAATGGAGTAGCCAAAGACAAAGTGCTAAGACAGACGCATGTTCTGCAAAATATAGACAGAGTCCCTCTAGGTTCACATTAGTGGGACAAAGAGTAGAATTTAGTCCTTACGCCAGGAATTCTGAACACACCAGGGCATCACAGATGGGATTCAGACTACCGAAGTGAATGAAAAATAATTTGTAGAATAAATTAACAATCAGTGAAAACCAACCATAGCGAGTGGGTATATAGACCCCTACAATGATGGGGTAAATAGTTCCTGTTCAGACTAAAGATAGTTTCGTACAATCTGGTTATGGAGAGAAATCACCAGAGAAAATTAGGCAAGCTGTGAACTGGGAGCGCACAGATTGCACTTTGGGATAAACTAAAGTAAGGGTAGAGATACGGTTTTGCAATAACTGCAAAAATAATACAAAAAACTTCACTGGTTAGCTGAGACATCAACTCCTGGGCAGTCGACCCTCACACTTCGATGACGAGCAACCAACCAATAACATTGGGAAATACGCTTCAAGCCGCATGAACTCCTTGTGAATATGCAGGTGCTTGAACTTAAACATGCGTTTCTTCCGTTGTATGCCTATCACAGAAAAGTGAAATAAAAGTTCGGGTACACTTGGGCAAAGATACCATGCAATATAGAAATTGGTATGAAAATCTACCCTGGAGACAAGCGAAGCAGGCCTCACCTTGAGTCATCAAACGCACTCGACCACCAGAACGTGCAGGCACCACCGTAACTCTTTCCTCTCCCCTCCCTGCCTACCTCCGCTGTCAGTAAAAGGCAGCACATGAACTTTAAGTGACATTTCCCTGACCATAGCAAATGGTTAGGAAAGTCAACTGCAGGAGTTCAGCTGATGTAGTCCAGGAAAATTTTTGCAGAGAGAAGAACAAAGCAAGAAGAAAAGAATCCCTGAGGAAAAAAAAAAAAAGAAAAGCCCTCCCCCAAAACACATACACATTAAATAGTAAGTAATGCAAAACTGCTAGGGGAAGAATCTTGTACAGAACAATTTCAGTCTCTCATGACTAGTCCTCTGGAAACAAGCACTGGGTTGTAGCTCTCTGGGCTGGCAACATGACAGAGGAGTTCATATTCGACCTCTGAAAATGTCAAGAGGGCACAAATCCTTCACTGCTTCCCTCAGCAACCTGGGATGGGGCTGACATGTCAGGAGAGGGGTTCTATTGTAAAATCATACTCGAGTCGAAGCTAACTAAGCCTTGCACATTTTTCTGGTTTTGAAATGACTACATAGCCCCGAGCTGCGGAGCAACTCTGTTAACTCTACTGTAGCAAACGGGGAAAAAAAAAAAAACAACAAAAAACCACAAAACAAATGCTACGAAGACCCTGGAAGCAGTAAGGCTCCAGGTAAGCTCTAGAGGAGACCCACAATGCAGATGTGCCCCTTTTCCAGCTCCTACCACTGCCCTTCCCGGCCACTTGACACCAATCCCTGCAAAACTACTCCTGCCCCCCGTAACCTTCTGGCATGCTCACCTGAGTGCTGCTTTACCCATTTCACTCAAAATTACCCCTATTGACAAAGCTTTACTGTTCTCAGCCGTATCAGCTATCCTGGCTCCCGCTGACGGCGTAGACAAACGAGGGGCTTAGCTGGTGGAGCAGAAGCAGTGGTAAGCAGGCAGGCACGGGGCAGCACTTCTGTCACTGACGCGGGATTCATGTCCACAGCCCTGGGTTCTTGAAGCAGCAGACATAACCACAGAAAAGAGGGATGAAGACATTCCAATCACTTAATGCTTTCTGATTGCTCAGGCTAGGTAAAAATATACTAAACTAATCCTTCACAGTGGTCTCTCTAACCTGTTCTTGAAGCCCTCTGATGAAAAAATGCAATATTATTGCAGAGAAATTAGCCCAGTACATAGATGTCCTTGCTATTTAAAAACCTTTCTGAACGTCTAACTTACATTCCCCTTCCTACAATTTATACTCATTATTCCCTGCCTTACCTGCAATCATTAACAAGACCAATTTATTCTCTTCCTCTTTGCATCTATCCCTACATAGTTGAAAACTTTGGTTTTCTTACAGTGTTCTGTTACATACAATGACCAAAGACAGTTGTTTCAACCTTCCCTTATAGATAACATTTTCCAGACCTTTGCTTCTTTACTGTCTTTTGGACTCCTTCCATTCGATCTGCATTCTTCTCGAAGTATAGTGTCCAAAATTGGGTACATATTCCAGCCTAGGCTTTATCAGCTTTTATAGAGCTAAATGATTATTAAATAATACTTCTCACTTACATGTCCCAGCCAGTTTGCCTTTTTTGTGTACGTAAAATGCATAACATGTTCATTTGTGCTTGGCTCACAAACCATGACAGGTCTCCAGTCCTCTTCTGCAGAGCTGCTATCTAGCCAGCCATTCTCCATCCTCAATTCATGCCACTGACTAGACGCACCAAAATGTAGAAACTCTGCATTTTCCTTTGGTTTTGTCCTGTCCTTCTCAGTTTCTCGAAATATTGCGAGTCCTAATCCTGCCCTCCTCACAGCCTACTAACCTGCAAGTTTAACAAATACGCACACGGTTCCCTTCTTTACGTCAAATTACTGAAAATACTTAATAGTATCAGACACCGGCCTTCTCCCTCCCCACCTCACCCAAAAGCCCTGCTCAACACACCCTCCCAGTCTGGCACCAAGCCTTTATTTCAATACTGTTCTCTCACCAGTTGCAGATGCAGCTTCGAGTTGTCCCAGCTTGCTTACAAAAACCTCAGGGGAGCCTGCGTCAAGCACCTTGCTAAACCCAAGAAGTGCAAAAGGACATTTTAACACCCTGACCTCCTGAGGAGGCAGTTCAGCAAATAGTTAGTCTGGTGGTAGGTTCAGATTAAGTAATGACCTCTTTCTCCCCTTCCCCATGTCCCACGCATTTCTGCCTTGCCATTGATGCTCCAATTGTACTCCTACCGCAGAGGGAGCTGTACCAGGGAATGGTCACCATAAAGTAACTCCAACACCTCCCCAGGGCACTTGCCCCTCCCCAAAAAGAGGTACTAGTTAACTCGGTTCAAATCCTTGATCTAGTTAACTGCATGGTCAGCTTCACTAGCTTTGCCCGCAAAACTCTGGGTGAGCCCCTGATGAGACCAGTGCTGCCAGAGAAAAAAACGACTTGCCAAACGACAACAGTAAGTATTAGCTGATGGGACTTTTTGCTTTCCACCGTATGCAGAAAAAAATTCCTCTATTTTTCTCTTCTACCGAGATATTTGAGAACGCAGAAGTAACTTCTGCAACGCTCGATTTCAGTTAGGTATACCTTTTCCCTGCCTTCCTGATTTTGTTTCTACGTGCTATGTGCATGGTATTTTCATTGTCAATAAACTGCAGTTACACTTTCCACCCTCGTTCCTGTACCTAGGCCTGGGACAAAGCACGTTAGCCCTCTGTTATGCTGACAAAACCATTCGTGGTCTCAGTTCACAGTTGTTTTGAAAGAGTTATTTTAACCTGGATTGGTATGCTGGTTTACAGTACGGCTCCACAAATAATAGCGTCAGCAAAACTGAGCAAAAACTGCCCTGCCAGTCAAAGTCAGAAACAAGAGGCTGGGTTTGAGGCCAGCACTGCAGCAGGAGCCCCACGCTGCTGACCCACGGCCTCCGTGTCTTCA